ACAGGCCAGAGGCTCAGGGGTGGTGAGAGGCTTCACCAGAGACAGAGTGGGGAGCAGAACAGTCAGATTGAAGAAGTACACTGCTGAGGGGAGAAGCGGGCGGGTCAGGAGAGGTCTGCTATGCCATGTGGTCACCTCCTCCTGGGCAGGCAGGAATTGAACTCATGTGGAAGTGGCTTTAGCTTCTTAATGCTGTGCTTTAACCTGCTACGCCACCAGGGAGGGCCTATACAGCATTTTTAATAATAGAGATTATGAAAAAGAAAAAGTAGAATCCTTGGGAGATATAATAAAATCAGTTAAATACCTTTCATGCCAATATTTTGATACCCATTGTCAGAAGGTTGATTGGAATAAATTAAACTTCATTTCAAAAATGTCAGTCTAAGGTACTTAAGTAATTCCTTAGGTATCTAAGTTAAGAGTAAATTTGTGTGGCCCAAGTAAAAAAAAAAATCTTAACCAGATAAGGTTAAGATTTTTTTTTGGTCAATTTCTGCCAGTGCAGTAAAAGAAGATAAAACCAGCAGTCTTAGATATTGTGTCAATGAGAGAACCCTGAGCAGGTAACATGTATTCTTGCAAACCAGTCCCAATCTTGAGCTCATCTATAAGGTACCACCCAAATTGATATAAGCCCATTTTTTTAAATATGAAATGTATATTTATATATCTAGGACAGTTATTGTTAACAATAGTGTCATACTATAGAAGTCCTCATAAGGGTTTCTTTCACCTGTCATCAAAGAAATCTGAATCAAGATTAATTATGGCAAGTAATATTACTAGTCATTTAATTTTTTTTAAAGATTTATTCATGTATGCATACAGAACTGGGCTGGGGTGCAGGGGCAGTGAGAGGATTCATCAGAGACAGAGTGGGGAGCAGAACAGGCTGACTGATAAAGTACACTACTGAGAGGAGCAGTGGGAGGGTCAGGAGAGGTCTGCTGCACCAGGTGGGTCACCTCCAGGGTGGGCGGGATCGAACTCATGCTGAAGTGGCTTTAACTTCTTAGTGCTATGCTTTAACCCACTACGCCACCATGGAGGACCTGCTAGTCATTTAATTCTTGATGTTATTTCATTATTATGAAATTTTTTAAAAAAATTTGTGATGTGGATACTAGGATAGCATTTTTTTTCATGATCTTTCAGGATCATGATTTTTTTCATGATTTTTTCCATGATTAACAAACTGTATTTCATAGCCTATACTGCCCAGAAATTACCTTTTTGAAAATAATAACAACCAAGGGAGCAAGCTGTTAGATTTAAGAACTTTGGGAATTAGTGGTTACTAAAAGTTGTCTAGAGAGATTAAAATGTGACTCTAGGGGATATTTATTTTTTATAGCAATGGAATCTATGCTTCTTTGAAACAAATAGTAATCATTCATGAGTAAAACATGAGTTAACTTTATATTAAATTTCTAAACTGAAAACCCTAGAGACCAGAGTTTACTGGGATTTAAATATGCTATATTTCTTCATATATAGTGGACTGCCAAGAATATTAAGAATGTAAATCTGTGTTTGAATACAAATGACTTCCTACAAGGCCTGTTTTGTTTATTAATCGAATTAATTATCTCCCTGCACAGTGCAGTCACTGTGGCTTGGAATAATGGTTAATGATGAAAGACTGAGGCAAATTTAAAAAATAGCATGTTTAATAATACAAATTAATTCTATCATACAATGAATCAGAGAGAAAATATTGTGAAGACAATGCTTTTTCCCTCCTCCCTTTTTACTCACCATTAAGAAACTTTTCTCCTATGAGTATATTTTATTTACAAACATAAAAAATAGACTGTATGTTTCAGATGAGCTACCATTTTACCCAAAGTAGAAACTCAAATTTTAGTTGACCAACTCAATTTCAATCAAGAAACTATGTATTAGTGGTGGAATTGTTTGAGGTCAGCCCTCACCAAGGACCTTAAAATTGCTTTGAAATATAGAATAATCTGCCTTCTTTTAAAGTTTCAATAGCTAAATAAATGTCTTTAAGAAAGAATGTCACAGCCTAGTGTTTCTTATAATGCTTGAGAAGAGGTGCTTTTATGACTATAGAGTAAACCAGAGCTGCTAGTCTGAGTAAAAGGGAAAGGTAGAGTGCGAAAATATATCTGTATATCCTCAGTCCATAATCTCAGGAAAGCACTGCGACATTTCCCCAGGAAGTTTTACAGTTCCATGGAAAGCAGTTTGAAATCTACTCTACTTAAAGAAAATGGAAGTATAAACATCACAAATAATCTACCTTTTGCTAAATTTTCCTCATTTGATAAACTGAATGAATATATAAAATAAATAGTAGTATGGATAAACTATGTTTGAATATACAACCATCTCTTGATATCTATGGGGAATTTGTTCTACAACTTGTCACAGCTACCAAAATCTGAGGATGTGTAAGTCCTTTTTATAAAATGGCATATTTTCATATAATCTGAACAGTTCCCCTCATATATTTGAAATCAAGTTTAGAGTATACATAATTCAATGTTATTTAAATAGTTGATGCAATATATTACTAAAGGAATAATGACAGGAAAAATCTTTGTACATGTTTAGTATAGACACAATGATGTAGCCTAACTACATAGTAGGCATTGTATTTTTCATCCATGGTTGACTGAATTCATGATGGAACCAGCATGGAGACCCAGCTTCACATTTAGTATAAAAAATAAATATACATCTCTGTGTATGTGTGTATATGTTTTCTATATTCATTCTAGTATAGATAGACATGAATATGATCACACTGACCCCAGAAAGGAGAAAGTTGACACTCTGATAGGAGACCACACCATTGTATAGAAGACTTTTATATACCTATGAGTTATAGTCACCATTGGTTTAATCATTTGCCACTCACCATCATTGTAAAAGGCCACTAAAAAAGTCAGTTACAGATTCTGAGGCTCCAATAAGTGCTGTTTTTATATTATTAATGTTACTTTATTAATATTTTATTCATAGTAGCACAGAATTATTTACCTCTGACCTACTTATTATGTCACATATTTCCAGCAACAAGATTCCTAAATATATCATCTTTATATTATTTAAATTCCCTTACTACCTCTAATTCAAAAAGTTCATCATAGTACAAAAGAAAACACATAAATTGATATGTATTGATTTAAAGTCTCTATTAGAGATTGTAAATGTGGTGATGCCAATATCCTCATTATAGAGAGTTTTGGTCTAAAGCTCACCATCCTTGTATATGTTCTACCAGCAGAGTTATTTTCAGAATGGAAAAAAAAAAATCTGGAATCAGTTGACTGCCTGGTTGAAATACTAGAGGTTCACTGTACTCACAACCTGCTTAGAAGTTTTGAGAGACATTTTAGATACTAGATCAGCTTAAAGAAAAACCAGCTGAGAGACCTGGGTCTATTCAGGTTTTTGTGTGACTATTACAATGCCTGTACAGGGCACAGGATATAGTCAGCACTAAATAAAATTTTCTACAACTATTATGAGAAGAGTAGGCGGCAAAAAAAAAAATTAAATTAAGAAAGCCAAATTTTGCATTTTTTTATAAATTATAATTTCATGTATTTTTTTAAACCTGGCTACAATTTTTGAATTTTAATGTAAAATGTACCCTGTCAATAATTTTCATGTGTAGAGAAAAAATATTGTCAACTACATGCAGTCTGGATGGCCCCTAAACCCTTCCCCATCCTATATGACTGAAACTCATCCCCATTCCCTCAGCTCCTGGTGACCTCTCCACTTTTGGTGCCTGTGTGTTTAATTACTTCAATATCTAATATAAGTAGAATTATAATATTTGTTTCACTGGCATTCTGTCCTTACATTCATCTATGTTATACTATTGTTCTGCTATTACAGAACATTCTTCATAAGGTTGAATAATCATTGATTGTATTTATGTGTCATATTTTCTTTGTTAATAGATATTTAAGCTACATCCACTTCTTGGCTATTGTGAACAACTGTCCTTCATGTAATTTAAAATTTCACTGGACATTCTATGTCACTTCATCTCCAATCCTGCCTCAGGTTGTTACTTTGGTTTCCTTTTTCAGGTTTAAGCAAAGTCGTTAAAAATTTATCTACTGATTTCATGTTGACTATGTGATTTTGTGTTCAGTGAAGAAATGAAGATAATGATAAAACATGGTAGTAATCTGATGAGTGGCCTGCTGTTTTCATGCAGGATGACTCTGCTCCCGCCGACAAGCAGTGCAAACCGGAGGCGGCCCAAGCCACTTACTCAACCTCAGCCATGTCGGGGTCCCAGGAGGTGTTGTACATCAATGGAAATGGAACCTACAGCTACCACAGTTACAGAGGCCTGGGAGGGGGACTGCTAAACCTGAATGATGCTTCCAGTAGCGGTGAGTCTTTCACAGATTGTGATTCTTTTATGTCCATTTGGGGGTAATAAATTCCTTAAAATTAAAAGAAGAAAATGAGGGCCCTCCCTGGTGGTGCAATGTGTTAAACACAGCACTAAGAAGCTAAAAGCCACTTCAGCATGAGTTTGATCCCCACCCCAGAGGTGATCCTTATGCACAGCAGACCTCTCCTGACCCGCCCGCTGCTCCCCACAGCAGTGTACTTCATCAGTCTGCCTGTTCTGCTCCCCACTCTATCTCTGGTGAATCTTCTCACCGCCTCTGCACCTCTGGCTTGTACCCCAGTTCTGTATGCATAAATACATAAATCTTTAAAAAAAAAAAAAGGAAGAAAATGAGCATTCTATTGTAAGCAAGAGTCAGTGCCAGTTTGCTAAAAGCAAGACCATTTAATAGATAATGTTCATCTACTTACAAGGACAGTTCCCTATAATGCTGCTGTTTCTGAAAGGAACAACACTTGTTTTTGCTGGGTTTTTTCTTTCTTTCTTTTTTTTTATATTTTTGTTCATTTTTTGTACCTTGTTTGATTCTCTTCTCAGGTGTAATCCCAAAAAAAAATTCCACCACCACATGGCCAGTGAAGCATCACCATTGTCTTTCTTCCCTCTGTTGCGACCCCTCTCACCCCCCTCCCCTGTTGTATGTCTCAGATTTATAGTTTACTTACTAGCTTTGGAAACTACTATGCCGTTTCAGCCAGTAGTTGTCCACAGCAGTGGTGTGCTCCAGCAGTGTGAGTGGTGCACTGAAGCCAAACCGTACTGTACTGGCTCATGCCTAAGATTTTAGGGATGATTTTGTTTGTGTACTAGAGTGAACTTGAAATGAGATCTAGATTTAAATGTACAACATGTAACCACTCATATATTAGGGGGGGAAATACATGGGTGAATTTCTTACAAATTTGAGGAAAAAAATTTCCTAACTACATTTAAAATCCAGGGGGTATCAAGTTTCATTATACATGCATACACAAACATATATCTTTTGTGTAACCAAAAAAAAAAAAAGAAAAAGTGATAAGCCAACTAAAAAAATAATAAGCTAGAAAAACTATTAGTGTTCAATACTACCAAGGGTTAATATGAAAGCTTGTGTAGCTTGAAATGCAAAAACCATAAATAAAGAGCAAAGTGTGAGGCCCAGTGGGTATGGCAGAGGATCACTGGGGCATCAGTCACATTCATACTGTGATGACACACATCGGCAGTTAGGAACCTCCATCGGTAAAACATATACAACATTAAAAACCAACATTGCCTCGAAGGACATGATTTTTTTAAAAAAAATTCAATGTAATAGTTTATTTTTACATCTTTTCCCATCTCAGTTGTAATTCCCATGGGCTTCCCATCACCAAGTCACCCATGTTGCCATCACCATAGTCCAGTGCACTTCCTTCACCCCACCATTTTTGATCCCACTCCCCATTCCATCCTCATAAAATGTCTCTGGTATATATAGTTGTTCATTATTTTTATTATTTTCTCACCTGGTCCATTATATTCCTGCTATGAGTGAAACCATCCGGTATTTTTCCTTTTCTTTCTGGCTTATTTCACTAAGCATGATCTTTTCCAGCTCCATCCATGTTGCTGCAAAAGGTATGTGTTTATTTATTTATTTTTTTTGGTTGCTGAGTAATATTCCATTGTATATATACTACATCTTTTTAATCCAGTCATCTACTTTTGGGCATTTGGGTTGTTGCCATTTTTTTCCAGTTGTAAATAAGGCAGCAGTAAACATGGGGGTGCAGTTGTCTTTTTCAATCAGTGTTTTTGTGTCTTTTGGGTAGATACCTAGGAGTGGGATTGCTGGGTCGTAGGGAAGCTCCATGTTTAGCAGTTTGAGGAACCTCCAAACAGTTTTCCATAGTGGTTGTACTAGTTTGCATTCCCACCAGCAGTACAGGAGAGTTCCTTTTTCTCCACACCTTTGCCAACATTTGTTGTTGCTAGAAGATGTGCCATTCTCATTGGGGTGAGGTGGTATTTCATTGTGGTTTTAATTTGCATCTCCCTTATTACAAGTGATGTTGAACATTTTTTCATATGCTTGTTGGCCATCTGCATTGCTCTTTGGAGAAGTATCTTTTTAGCTCTGGCCCATTTTTTGATGGAGTTGTTTGTTTTTTCTTGAGTTTCATCAGTTCTTTGTATATTTTTGTGATCAATCCTTTATCGCTAGTTTTGTGTGAGGAATTTTTTTTTCCAATCAGTGAGATTACTGGTTTTTTGTAATGTCTCTTTTACTGTACAGAAGCTCTTTAGCTTGATGTAGTCCCATCTATTTACCCTTTCCTTCACTATCGTTGTATTGGGTGCTGTATCTTCAAAGATGTTACTGAAGCGTATGTCGTGTAGTGTTTTACCCATCTTTGCTTCCAGGTATTTTATGGTTTCCGTTCTTAGGACATAAGTTTTTTTAAAGATTTATTTATTTATGCATACAGAACTGGGGTATAGGCCAGAGGTGCAGGGGCAGTGAAAGGATTCACCAGAGACAAAGTGGGGAGCAGAATAGGCAGATCAACTAAGTGCACTGCTGAGGGGAGCAGGAGGCGAGACAGAAGAGATCTGCTGTGACATGGGGATCACTTCCAGGGCCAGAAATCAAATCCACACTGAAGCAGCCATGGCTAGCTTGCAGTGATACACAAAGGACATATTTAAATAATTAAAGATTAAAAGTTAGACTAGAAATATACGCAGTATAACTTCTAAAGAAAGTAATGCAAATATCTAATACACTTACACAAATCCATGCACTCCTAATAAGAGAAATGCTGTCAGATTAACAACAAATATATTTAATAACAATATTCTTCTGACAAGTCTGTGAAGGAAACAAGTACTTTCATGCATTGTTTGTAGAAAAGCACAGTTGGAATGGAACTTGACAACATCTAGCAAAATTATATGAGCACTTACCATTTGATCTAGCAACCTTTGGACTAGGGATCTTTTTCAATAACTTGCTGGAAGAATCCAAGATATAACACAGGGCCATTCATTGGAGTATTTGTGAATTAAAAAATTGAAGAATACAGTAAAAATAGCCAATTGAAAGCTAGCTGATTATATTGTATCCAAACAAAAGAGTAGCATGCATATGTAATAAATAGTGAAAAATCTCTCTATATACTCCATGTAGTGAAAAGTACTTACAGTATTCATGAAAGGACTTACATAAATTTAAGTGGAAACCATACTTTTTTTTTATAATTTTTTAAAAGATTTATTTACTTATGCATACAGAACTGGGATACAGGACAGAGATGCAGGGGCAGTGAGAGGATTCACAGAGTAGATCAGAGCAGAACAGGCAGACTGACAAAGGACACTGCTGAGGGGAACAGTAGGCAAGACAGGAGAGGTCTGCTGCACAAGTGGGTTACCTCTTGAGCTGGGGATCAAACTTTTGTTGTAGTGGCTGTGGATAGCATTACAGTGCTATGCTTTAACCCACTGTGCCACAAGGGAGAGCCTGGAAACCATATATTTTTTTAAAGTTGGCATAGAAGCAGAAACTGGGGAATAGAATAGAATCCAGAAGTTTCCAAACTTGTTTTTTTATTTTTTGTTTTTTTAGACTTAACTTTGCAACAATTTATGTATCTATGTAACAGTGAAACAAACTTATTTATGAATACCTGAAATTGAAAAAAAACTAGTGCAAACATAAACTTTGCATATCTTTAATGAGTTGTTACTGTAGTTCCACAGAAAAGAAATTTTCAATTGATCTAATAAATCACAATTTAATTCCACAGTGTACTATCTTAAGATAATATGTTCTATTTAGTATCCTGTATTTATCTTGAGGCTATGGTTTATATTATGACTTAAAGTAAATGTGTAATTCTATGGTATCAGTAAAATATGTGATTTTTCAGAGACCAAGATGGACAGACATGTAAAAATCAACAAACTTAAGCAAAAACCTCAGTCTTCTATTTGAATTGCTAGTATCACTGAAAGCACAAAATTCTTTCTTTAAAAAACATAGTCCCTGTCTTTTTCCACTGAAAATGCCTGGAATTGGGTCTGTTTTAATTTGAAAAAAAGGCTTCATGGTATGGGGTAGGTTTCACTAAATTGGGTGTTGCTTAATTTACCCAGAGGATCACCTTGATGTGGAGAACTTAAGTCAACACAGTTCCTGTGTTGGGAAGTTTTTACTTAAAGAATGCATTACCCAAAGAATGCAAATTATTTTATGAGTGTTGAAAGAAAGCCCTGGAGGCTTTTAAGACACTAATTTGAAGTCATTTTTTCCTTTATATAGTCATTTGTCCTATTAATGACCTGCTACAACACTCTTTTGTATATACCACAAGTTTTGATATGTTACAGCTTTATTTTTATTCATCTCCAAATATTTTCTAATTCCTTTTGTCATTTTTCCTTTGACACATGAATTATTAGGGACTATCTTGTTTATTTGCTGCCTTATGTGAATTTTCCGCATTTATTTTTGTTAATGATGTATAATTTTATTTCATTTGGTCAGACAACATACTTTATATGATTATAAACATACAAAAGTTTATTGAAGTTTGTTCTATGACCAAATTATGGCCTACCATGGAAAATTTTCATGTGTGTGTGAGAAGAATGTGTTTTTTTGGTTATGTGGGTTTTTTAGGCATAGTTTTCATATCCATTATTGAAAGAAGGTATAGTTTTCATATCCATTATTGAAAGAAGGGTATGCAAGTCTCCAAGTACTATTACTGAATTGTCTACTTTTGTCCTCAGTTCTGGCAATTATTTATTTTGGGACTCTATCTTTAGGAGCATATATTGTTTATATTATTACATATTCCTTATGGTTTGACACTCAGCTTGGTATAATATCTTTATCACTAGTAATTTATTGTTTTAAAGTTTATTTTCCTTAATACTAATATTTATGTTGTATCAGAAAAAGACAATGGAAAATTTGATTACAGTGGTAGTTAGTCCTGAAAA